AGAGAGAGTGAGAGAGAGAGAGAGAGAGAGAGAGAGAGAGAGAGAGAGAGGAGAGACAGAGAGAGAAGAGGAGAGACAGAGTGAGAGACAGAGTGAGAGACAGAGTGAGAGACAGAGTGAGAGACAGAGTGAGAGACAGAGTGAGAGACAGAGAAGAGTGAGAGAAGAGAGAGAGACAGAGTGAGAGAGACAGAGTGAGAGAGATAGGGTAAATATCTAATAAACTTCTTTCCCTCTACTCCCTTATTCCTGCCATTTCTTTAAAGAAAATCTACAAAAATAACAAAACTGTAATCAAGAAGACAACTTAAGAAGACATGACTAGAAAACCTGAAGCACTTCTTACAGGTCGATTCCCACAAACAAATATATATGCAAATAAAACATACTTGTGACAGTATTGTTGCTGGCAGTGAGAGCCGTTAACGTTTGTACATCCCACAGGAATATTGCTTTATCAAGCCCAGCCGAAGCCACCTGCTCTCGGTCCCGCGCATAGGCCAGGGCCTTCACATAGTCCTTGTGGGTCCGAAGAGTGGACATGCAGAAGCCCTGATTGGAAAAAAAAGAGTATTAACTGCTTTGAAAATCAGATCATTTTCCTCTAAATTCTTTTCTTTTGTACTACGTATCTTTCTCACTCCATAGAATTCTTTCAATCCTCCCATCTCCATTAATTAATTTACCTGTCTTATTTTATTTATTCTCTATAGCTTTCTATTTCTCAGTCTTGTGAATTTCTCTACTTAGTTTAAAAAACAATAAGTCTTACCTTGTGAGCATTCCATACTTTCACTGTTGTGTCAGAACTTGCAGATATCACTGAAAATCCACAACAAATATATTAAACACTGTAGATCAAATTTAAAAAAGAAATATCCACCTACCACACATTTCATATATTTCCATCATCTTTACCAACCAATTTTCCCATAGATACGTCAAAATCCATACCACATGAAAAAAAAAAAATCTGAAATCAGACAGGCAACACTAAGCTCTAAGTAAACAAACTAATCCTGGTAAATCTCACAATTCTTTCCACCACAGCAGAGCACAATGTCGTTGACCCAGTCAGTGTGGTGTTCCATAGACTGTATGTATGGGTCTTTCTGGTTCTTGCAGTTCCAGATGCGGATGATGGAGTCACGGCCAGCCGAGTATAGCCTCTGGAGATAAGGGTCATACTGCAGGGAGTTGACTGACGAACGGTGAAACTTCTCGACCTCATCTCGAATCACAAATGATATCTGAAAACCAAAGGAGGGGAGAGTTAAACTGGATCATCTATCTATCTATCTGTGGTGAAGTTTTTACAATTGGGAGTAATTACATTCAAACAGCAATAACAACAAGAACTGTTTGAGATATCTACATTTTCCTACTTGGGATCAATTGAAGTTTCACTAGGCAATGTTATATTAACCAAATTTCTTTATCTAGTTATAATATCTATAACCAAACCCACCCTTTAAATGTTCACCAAAAATATTTGAAGTATTACACTAAGGAATAAAGGACCAACCTGAACTTTTTTCCTGGTTGAGTGAGTGCTGTTTTGCCGATGACCTACGATCATGGACATGCTGCTTGTGTGTTATTGTCGTCTTCATTCATGAGTCACATGCCATCATAATGTCTGTGGGTAGGTCACATATATCTATAATCTGCATACAGTTCTCCATGTGTAAACATGAACTAGTACATTTCAGACAATATGAGTATGTGAATAATGGTCCCTTCATATCTGCAAAATAATTTGTGTAAAAAATAACTGATTGGATTGTAAATATTCAGTATGAGACCTTGCAATGATAGAGATAAACTAGTCTACTGGCTAAAAAAAAATTATAAACAAATGCTATCACATAATCCAGCTGTGATGTGTCCTCCATGCTTTATACTCTGGCAAAGGCAAAGAAATAAAACATCATTTATATTCTGGGAAAGTAAAACTCCTTTACCTCCCTGAGAATTTCAATCAATAAGTCAGTCATTTGAGCCAATGTGGATATAACAAGATGCCAAGTGGGTTCTCAGCACATCTAACTCATCACAAAAGATCTGATCAATCTGCCCATTCCACAACCTCTTTGGCTGTCCCATAGGGCTCCTCCATCAGGGGTTATCTCCAGAGACGACAACCTAGTGGGCGGGATCATCCCCAGGGAGTCGAGCCAGAAGCCCATGTAGCCTGAGTTCACAGTCCTACACTAGTCTCATGGTGTAACTATTGGCTGGACCCATGGACATAACAGCTGTAATCATATGATCCAGTGCAGGGACCTAATGCAAAAGGCATAAAGATAAGACTCCAAGACCCAGGGATGGCATGCAGGTTTCTCTTTTGTAGGGCAAAACCAACAGTATTACAGCCTTGAAGACAAGTGGGTTGGTCCTTCTACACAAGTACCAGGATATTCAAATACTCTTATCAAACCACTTCATAGCAAGTGATGCTAATCTGTCTACTGACTTCCTGGTCTGAGAGCCAGAGTAATGGTCTACACTACCTAGGTATATAAGCTGTCAATGACCTCATAGCAAAACCACAAGCACATACCAACTGGACAGGTTCTCCTAAGGAATGTAATGTCAAATAAGGAACCAGTCCTAGCTCTATCTTGATGGCTATACATATGGAAGTTTGTTGGCCTTTGACAGACTGCAAAGTGTGGAGGGTCCTACTCTAAGTAATTACCAATAAGGGAGGAATATAAATGAAATTCCAAATTTGAGAAGAAATGGCTACCTTACAAGTTCTCAAGAGATCCTAGCAATAAAGGCTGGAATTGGAAATGCAAATCAAAGAAGAGAAATAAATAATCAAAGCACTGAGGAATTGGGGAGGAATTTCTACCAGATAAGAAAGACAGTGTAATCTGTTCAGTGTACCAGTATATATGTATATCCATTTACAGAAAGGCAATAACAATTGAAATTCTTCCATTTTCATGTTTAGGTACTCTACAAAAAAGGTTGAAGTGGACATTAACTCAATGTAAGTTTTTAGTATGAATAGGATTTCATTATATATTTTTTCTGCTTTCTTTTCATTTGTTTTATCAACTTAATTACTCAATTCTCTTTCATAAATTGACTCAATGACTGTCACAAGAAAAGGAAAAACAGTAAAGATAATAATAAAATTCTCATCTAAAATAAGCGAAGAACTGGAGCGACCTGGGATCATGGTTAGGCCTAAGCCTAATCTCTGCACAGCCAGCCCAACCATTGCAAGTCATGATGCATATATACGTCACTGACCATTACAACATGACAGCTATAGCCATCCCCCTCACTGGAGAGCTAAGAGAGGAATTATGACAGACTGGGATCATGACAACAGCAGGAATATGACATGAGGTACTGAGAACCATTGAACTAGGAATTCCTCTTTAGTAAATGACACTTTCTTTGGTTATTCTTCTAGTCAGTTTACTTTGGGAAAATTCATTTGAAGTTTTGTTCAACCTAACATAACAAATAAAAAAATGCATTTGATACTGCATCATCACTTTTACTACATCAAAATTGACAGTCCTTTTTTTTGTATACAGTAAAATTGTATTAGTAAACATGCTTCATCAGTGTTTCCATTTTCTTATCACATCTATTTGTAGTATCTATATATATCTATATCTCTGCATATCCTTTTTCTACAAGTAGAAAGATTCATTCCCTTTAATTCCTTAATCAACATCAGCTTCCAAATCGATGCAAAAATTCAAAGTCATAACTAGCTTTTGATAATTAGCTTACTTATTCAGTGTTTTTCAATATGAAATGCACAAGCAATGAGGTACTTCATATCATCCATGTGTTTAATGTTCCATTCAGCAAAATAGAAATACACGACTGATAAAGAAAGTGTCTAAAAGAATGAATAAATGATGGCATGTTTCCTTCCAACTCCCTTTATTTAGCATGGGTAGTGATATCACAAACTGGTCACATATACAAATATGCATACAATTTGATCAGGTAAACAGACACAGTCTTAATATATCTTAATAGCATTTATGGCTGTTCTAGTAATTTCACTTAATTCACTATCTTTCAATCTAATATGTTAGAAATTTTCAAGAATTCCTCAGAATGAATTGCTGTGCTAAATTTCAAACTGCAATACTTCACACAGACAACTAGGAGAGACTTATACTGCAGAATATACATTACAGCTTCAGCAAAGTGAGAAATTTGGGCACTATATCTGGTGCAACAATAACAAGAACAAATTCTAGGCAAAATCTATTAACTGGATAAAGCCATGTCTGGAAGGGAAGTTATGCAAATTAAAGTCTCTCTTATACTTCAATAGTGTGTTAAAAATCATTACTGTGCTGTCAATGTTCATCTATTCACAATCAGATAAGAGCTATTTACTCAACTTTTTCAACTAGTGAGGATTATATAGACAATCTCTCAAGATTTACTTTCAATTGGTGGATACCAGTCACTGAAAGAACAAACTTTAAATAATATCATATATAACCTACTGAAGCCATCATGTCTTACAGTCTACATCAATGGCCACATTTCATAAGCTGTGGCGGTTACATGAATAGCTGAGTAATGTCATATTTTATGCCTTAGGAGCATTTGATATTGATGCTTATATATAATTTACAGTGAATTTAATTACTTTAATATCAAGAACCTACCAAGTTCAGAAATTAGGAAAAACAGCATAAATAAACACAAGCTAATTCAAAATATTGCTTTCGTTTCCTTCAATAGACATGTAATCACGGCTTCAAGATGACCAACGTTATCAACAAAATACTGACAAAATTCCAATCAAAAAGGACACGGGAAGACAAATTTCCAAAAAATGGTTGTATTGAAGACTAATGTCTGTCACGACTCATTCGGCAAAATGAGTAACAATTTCGTATTCTGATATTCGCGTTCCTCAAAAAAGAGCAAAATCGAAAAAATACCAAGAAATCCCACCACCACTACGAAGAGGGTGACAAATCTCTAAAACTTTTAATGAA